GTTAGCTGGGCCTGGTGGCACGTGCCTGTAGTCCCAGCGACTTGGGAGACTAAGGCACGAGAATCGCTTGAACCTGGGAGGCGGAGGTTGCAGCAAGCCAAGATCACGCCACTACACTGTAGCCTGGTGATAGCGTGAGACTCCATCTCAAAAAAAAAAAAAAGTTTTTTTCATATAAGATGTGAGATTGGGATGGGGAGAGTCTCCCTATATTGCCCAGGCTGGTCTTGAACTCCTGGGCTCAAGTGATGCCCAGGATGATGATTTTATATGCATTTTACTTATTTAATTCCTATTTCCCCTTCTAGAGGGTAAACTTCATGAGAATAGGAATGTTTCTCTTTTTATTCACTGTTTTTTGTTTTCTGTTTTTGAAACAAGGTGTTGCTCTATCACCCAGGGTAGAGTGCAATGGCATGATCTTGGCACACTGCAACCTCTGACTCCTGGGTGCAAGCAATTTTCCTGCCTCAGCCTCCTGAGTAGCTGGGATTATAGGTGTGCGCCACCACACTCAACTAATTTTTGTATTTTTTAGTAGAGATGCAATTTCACCATGTTGGTCAGGCTGGTCTCTAACTCCTGACTTCAGGTGATCCACCTGCCTCGGCCTCCCAAAATGCTGGGATTACACCGATGAGCCACTATGCCTGGCTTTTGCTTCCTTTTTGTAAGAAGTTTAAGGAAATGTGGTCTTAGAGATCAAATTCTTCCACTAGAGCAGGGGTCTGCAAACCTATGGACTCTGTCCAAATTTGGCCCACCTGCTGCCCACAAATTAAGAATGATTTTCACATTTTAAATGACTGGAGGAAAAAACCATTTTTTTTTTTTTTTTGAGATGGAGTCTTGCTCTGTTGCCCAGGCTGGAGTGCAGTGGCGCCATCTCGGCTCACTGCAAGCTCCACCTCCCGGGTTCACGCCATTCACCTGAAGTCAGGAGTTCAAGACCAGCCTGGACAACATGTTGAAACCCCGTCTCAATTATAAATACAAAAGAATTAGCTGGGTGTGGTGGCAGGCATCTGTAACCCCAGCTATTCAGGAGACTGAGGCAGGAGAATTGCTTGAACTCAGGAGGCAGAGGTTGCAGTGAGCCGAGATCGTACCGTTGTACTCCAGCCTGGGTGACAAGAACAAAACTCCATCTCAAAAAAAAAAAGAAGAAAAAGAAAACTTAGCCAGATGTGGTGGCACACAGCTGTGATCCCAGATACTCGGGAGGCTGAGGCAGGAGCATCACTTGAACCCGAGAGGTAGAGATTGCAGTGAGCCGAGATTGTGCCACCGCACTCCAGCCTGGGTGACAGAGCAAGACTCCATCTCAAAAAAATAAAAATAAAAAATAAATTGTGGACTCTGCTCTAGGGTCTACATGAATGAGAAGTTTTAGCAACAGGTAGGATACATCAATCATATCTTCATTGGAATTGATTACTCAAACATTTTCAGCTCATGAACAAAATAGCCCTTCTACCTCCTGGGTTACAGTGGTTTTAGCCCAAACTGCCTTTTCCTTCTGTTATTTCCCGGGTGTTTCCCCCTCATCCTCCTTCCCATCCCCTTAATCCTTGTTAATTTATCACCCTGTTTGAAAAGGTCTCCATTGGGATAGGAGTAGAGGGGGGTCCCTGAAGTAGCATTGTCATCTGAAATCCAGTAGGGATGTCCAACCTTCCCAAAGGTTGGTTTAGGTGAGAATCAAAGATGAAAGCCCACCAATAGTTAGTTGAAATCCAGTTGAAAAATCAGATCTTAAAGGCCGGGCGCGGTGGCTCACGCCTGTAATCCCAGCACTTTGGGAAGCCAAGGCAGGTGGATCACGAGATCAGGTGTTCCAAACCAGCCTAACCAACATGGTGAAACCCTGTCTCTAATAAAAATACAAAAATTAGCTGGGCATGGTGGTGGGAGCCTGTAATTCCAGCTACTTGGGAGACTGAGGCAGGAGAATCGCTTGAGCCCAGGAGGCAGAGGTTGCAGGGAACCGAAATCACACCACTGCATTTCAGCCTGGGGGACAAAGCGAGACTCCATCTCAAAAAAAGAAAAATCAGATCTTGCCAGGCGTGGTGGCTAATGCCTGTAATCCTAGCACTTTGGGAGGTTAAAACGGGCAGATCACCTGAGGTCAGGAGTTTGAGACCAGCCTCAGCAACATGGCAAAACCCTGTCTCTACTAAAAATACAAAAATTAGCCTGGCGTGGTGTCGGGCACCTGTACTCCCAGCTACTCAGGAAGCTGAGGTGGGAGAATGGATTGAACCAGGGAGGTGGAGGTTGCAGTGAGCTGAGATGGCGCCATTGCACTCCAGTCCAGGTAACAGAGTGAGACTCATCTCAAAAAAAAAAAAAAAAGAAAAATCGGAGAAAAAAGCCCCTGACCCTAGTCATGCCTCTTCAGAAGGCAAAGGAGCCAGGCAGGAGCTCCTGCCTGGACCACAGAGTTGGCCAGGCATGGTGGTAATCCCAGCACTTTGGGAGACTGAGGCAGGAGGATTGCTTTGGGCCAGGAGTTCAAGACCAGCCTGGGCAACATAGCGAGACTCCATCTCTATAGAACATTTCAAAAGTAGCCGGACGTAGCGGCATGTGCCTGTAGACCTAGCTACTTGGGAGGCTGGGGTAGGTGGATCGTTTGAGCCCAGCAGTTCAAGGCTGCAGTGAGCCATGATTGCATCACTACACTTCAGCCTGGGTGAAAGAATGAGAGCTTATCTCTAAAAAATTTTTTTAAAAATTTTTTTAAGGTGCCCAGAGCTTTGACAGTGTCCCTAAAGTTAAGGTGGTGGAGTGGGAACCAGAAAATGGATCAAAGTGTCTCAAAATGAGCCCAATTACCCCTTTGGCTTAATTTGGCAACCCTGTTATACCTAAAGTAGGAACTGCAGCTACAGAGGATGTTCTTATGGGCACTGAACTCAAAGCCATTGACCTTGATGACCACGTCGCAGAGCTTGCCCTCTAGTCTAAGCTCGTTGAAGATCTCACAGGCCATCGCACTCATCTTCCTCTCCATGTGAGGCTGGTGGAAACGTGTGGAGGCCGCCGCGCTCTCCATCTCCATGGCACCCTGGGACAGCGGAGAGAGGTTGCTCTCCTAGGGTGTCGGGGAGGGTTGTGGGGGGCCCCTTTAGCCAGCTGTCGCTTCTTTTCCCTACTACATCTTTCGTATAGAGTCTATCAGGCAACTCAAGTTCCAGAATCCTGGCCCTGCAGTGAGATCACGCAGGATTGTGCTCTCAGGTTCTGGAACTGCCTCCTGGACTTGTCCGCTTCCTTCTCCTCTCCCCTACCACCCCACTTAGGCTGAAAACCACCTCATGCCTCTTTCTGTGTCCTCGAACTCAGAACAGAACCGTGACCACTGAGTGTTTATTGATTCCAGCTCCTGTTACTCACCTGATACAGGTCTCTATCCCTGGAGCATCCATCTACCTTCCACAGCCCAACACTTGGCTCCCTAGACACCGAACTCAAGGAAATCCAAGTCAGTTGAGGCGGAAGGGAGAAGTAAAGCTGATTAAATTTCTTTCTTAGGCCAGGTGCAGTGGCTCATGCCTGTAATCCCAGCATGAGGTGGGCAGATCACGAGGTCAAGAGATGGAGGCCATCCTAGCCAACATGGTGAAACCTCGTCTCTACTAAAAATAGAAAAATTAGCTGGGCCTGGCGGCACATGCCTGTGGTCCCAGCTACTCGGGAGGCTGAGGCAGGAGAATCGCTTAAACCCGGGAGGTGGAGGTTGCAGTGAGCTGAGATTGTGCCACTGCACTCCAGCCTGGTGACAGAGACTCCATCTCAAAAAAAAAAAAAAGAAAAAAATTAATTAATTAAATTCTTTCTTTTTTTAGAGACAGGTCTTGCTCTCTCACCCAGGCTGGAGTGCAGTGGTGTGATCATAGCTCACTACAGCCTCCACCTCCTGGGCTCAAGTGATCCTCCCACTTGAGGATCCTCCCACTTGAGGCTTGATCCTCCCGGCCCAGCCTCCTGAGTAGCTGGGATTACAGGTGCTCAGCACCGTGCCCAGCCAACGCTGATTACATTTCAGAAAGCTGTCCCGGGTCTCCCAGTCCCCTGGATGGGTTAGTCACTCAGTTTCTTCTGGAATGAGGAATGGCCTAGTTAACAGAGCACCTGCTGGGTGATTAACAGAATTCAGTTTATGGCTCCTTCATCTCTCCTCCCATCCAGCCGTGTGGTTTTTCTGTTTTTGTTTCTGAGACAGGGTGTCATCTGCCTCCCAGGCTGGAGTGCAGTGATGCGATCTCGGCTCACTGGAGCCTGGACCTCCCGGGCTCAAGTGATCCTCCTGCCTCAGCCTCCCGAGTAGCTGGGACTACAGGTGCGCATCATCACGCCCGGCTAATTTTTGTATTTTTTGTAGAGACGGGGTTTCGTCATGTTGCCCAGGCTGGTCTCGAACTATTGGGCTCAAGCGATCCTCCTGCCTCGGCCTCCCAAAGTCCTGGGATTACAGGCGCGAGCCACCGCGCCCAGCCCCAGCCATGTTTTTGTCACACAAACTTTCAGCCTGGAAATGACCACGCTTGGCAAGGCTTTTCCTCCACAAAGAGTGGCAGAACCCTACCTACCCATGTAACCCCAACACCCTGGGACCTTCACCCTGCACTTCACAATAAATAGCACCCTCCTCCAATTTGCCTAGCGCACCGGGAAAGTCCACCCGTATCGTGGCCATCTCCGGGCACACGATTCTCGGCCCCGCCC